GGGAAAGCAAAAGAAAGCATTGACCTTCTCTATGCTAATTTTAAGTTGCAGAAACAGAGGATGGTTATCTCTGTAATTGGCAGGGTGAGGTGGCAGAGCTCTATTTTTAAAAGCCTGATGTTCATTAAGGAGGGAGTGATTTTTGGAAGTGTGGCTCAAGCTGCCAGTGCTCCATATGAGTTGAAAGAGTCTGAAGGAACTTTCTGCACCTCAGGATGCAGCTGTGCAGTTGCTCTGCTGGCTACTCTGCATTCTGCTCTTTCTTTGAGCTTGCTCTAAGAGTGGAGAAGTGCTGAGACCTTGGACTTCCTAATTAAAATTTAAAATCTAACCACAGATCAGCTTTCCTCAGCAGTAGCAAGTGACAATTGGGTGTCTGTACTTTACAATTTGGTGGCAGCTGCTTTTGCAGATATACAGGACTACCCTAGGAACAAGTTCTTAAGGGTCAGGTCCCAGCTACTGTAGAACATGGTTTTGTTTTGACAGTTAACTGCAAACACAGGAGAAATACCAGCCAGGATGAGATCAGGGTTTTTTTGCTGGGTTTTGAAGGCAAGTAGGTGATATTAGCTCTTTTAAAGAAGAATCCCTGAAAAACTGTGTATAAAAGGTCTCAAATATGCAAACTCATAGAGTGGTTTGGGTTGGAAGGGACCTTTAAAGGTCATCTGGTCCAACCCCCAGAAGCCAAACTTGCCTTCAGTTATTGCAGATAAAAATTAGCCTTTGGGTAACAGAAGTGATTTGTATCAGTCTCTGATTAGGATGGTAAAGGTCAGCTCTAGAAATACTTGAACTACTAAAACAGAAATACTTGAGCTCCTAAAATAAATGGCCACTAATATAGGATAAACCTAGGATTCAGTTTTTTTGAAGCAAGTTAAAGATGCAGGTACATAAATGGCCAGATAAAAGTGGAAGCATCATATCCCAAATTGGGTGAGGTTCTGTAAATCTCAGCCTCAACTTTAAAAACCTGTATCTCTCTATGCCTGTAAAAAAAAAACAAACATCCCCCCAAAAAACCAAACAAAACCCAAACCACCACCACCAAAATCCAACAAAAGCAACACCCAAGAAAGATCCTTTAAAAGAAACAACTCTCTTAATTTCTGGAGTATTTCTACAGGATTTAGATTCAAGTTCAAAGTACCAACTAAAGGATATTTGGTTAGTTAGAAATAGAAATAAGCAAATAACTTACCGAGCTCACAGGAGAGAGCAAGAACTGGATTGAAAGCTTGGAAATGTGTGTTTTTATATGGTCTTCTAAGACTGCATGGAAAACTTGAGCCACTAAGTATCAAATCCTAATTAGATCCAGCAGAGAATTTGTTCCTATGCAACTTTTTTATTGGTTGTAATTACTTGCTTGTGATTATTAATATATTGTGATCCCTAAATGCCTTGAAATGCACCTCACACCCTGCGGGCTCTTTCCATTTTAAATCTTTATGGGGGAGGTAAAAGCTGCTTTTTATTCTGTTGACCTCATTAGTTATGTAAAGAAATCTATTCCCTGTCCTCTTAAAGCTTCTTTTAGCAGGCTGGCAATCAGGAATCAGCAGGGGGGAGTGGGTCCATGATGGACCTTGCTCCATTTTCCCTTTTGCTCACTGAAATGCAGGTAGGCAGCTGGGGGCACGGAGGAGGAACCTGGATTTGTGAGGCTGGGAGAGATGGACCCAAAGCTTGGGCTCAATGACTGGTTCTACAGCTCATCTCGAGCTCTTTGCTTATGGCTGGAAACGAGGGCAGTGGAAGGTGTGCAGGAAAGCTGATGTTGACTTTAGGTGGGGTGTAAAACTCTCAGGGCTCTGTCCTGTGGCAAACTGAACTCTGCTTGGAAGCTGGCACAAGCTGCCTCACAGGGAATTGTGACTCTGCCAAGGACTTAAAAAGGGGACAGTGTTTTATAGAGGCAGCTGTGGAGGGACTTCCAGGCATTCCTTTTGGATTAGCAATCATGTTGGTGATATCTAGTTGGGTTCCTCTGGTGACAAGCAAGGAATTGCCACCTTGGAGTAGATTTTTTAGCATCCTGATAATAACAAAGAGGGGGATGCTTTTCTAATGACCCCATTATCATCTCTGTGGCCATCACAACAGCTCTTGGTTTGCACGTAGACCTCAGCTGTGCCCATGTGCCTTGTCCATCAGAAGGGAAACTCCTCCCTGCATGTGATGTAATTAGTAGCCTTTGATGTCTTGAGAAGCATCCTTTAAATTGGATATGTGCTGGCGTTCATTATAATGGAGTTCAGCTTGAAGAGATTTGCTCCTGTAAAACATTAATGAGCATCTGTGAGGAGTTTCAGGAGGTCTTGTTATGAAGATGTTATTTCATAGCATCTGTCAGTGCTGTTCTCCTCCATGTGAGGGTAAACAGAGGTGTGCACAGCATGGTACCTGTGAGGAGCATCTTAATTGAACAGGAGAGCAAAGCTGAGGTGTGGGGTGAGGATTAGCTCTGATAGAGGTCATGCCCTGAGGCCTGATTGTGGTTTGATAGGGTTCAATGTTCTTGTCCTTTTTTCCTCCTTCCAGCTCAGTATCTCTTTAAAAAAAGGGTGAGTTAGCTCCCTGATTTTTCATAACGAGTAAATATAATACAAGTTTGTATATTAAAAGAAGAACGGAGTTACAACTCTCCTTGCAACCCTTGATTTTGGGACAAAATGATGGATACAGGCACTAAGGCCAATGTTTCATGATGATATTGCACGCTGAGCAGTAGCCAATGCTACAAGGGAGAATATTTTTCCCAGAGGTCATGCAGATAATGCAATGCCCAGTTGGAGTTTAACTGGGAGGTAATGCTCAGAGGCAGGAGCCTTTATTAGCAATTTCATCTCTGCATTTACCTTGGTCTAGCACCAGAGTTTAGCAGATGGTTGCTCTTCCCCTTTCCATTGCACAGCTCAACACAAGGTGGAGAGCCTCAACTGGATAATAACTCCTGACAATGGAAAAAAAGGGCATTTCTTCTCTGATTCTCAGCCTTCCTGGTGAATTTATGGCTAATGGTTCCATGTTTATGCATGAGCTATCACACAAAGCAATAAAAAGCATCCTGACCAGATGAGAAGTTTGAGAACCCCTTGTAACGGTGCAGTGTGTAGTGGAGGACGTGTCTGGGAGGGGAATTCTCCACTGCCCGTTTGCTGGAAGCAGTTACAAACCTTCTTGTGATGTTGAGCCCAGAGCTGGCTTTCTTCAAAGCTTGTGGCCTTCGTAGCTGCTTACACCTCTCAAATTCAAAGCACCTAATGGAAGGTTAAGTTAGGGGAAAGTGTGTCATTCTCTGCAAAATAATGTGGTGTTGCTGGGCGGTTTGAGGCTGAGCCAGTGGTGATGGGTTTGGTGAAGTGTGACAGCCCTGGAGATGCCTGCTCTCCGCTACACAGAACATCAGGGCAGTCTTTGGGATGTTTGCAGCACACCTCCTTGTTGTCCAGGAGTAGAATAGCTCTGGACTTTTGCTCATGAAGTATCTAAAGCCTTGTTCCTAAAGCTTTTTCCTTGAAGAGGAAACAAGGCATGAAACTCAACTGTAAGACACAGTCCTTTAGTGCAAAGAAAAGTGGAGTGCAAAACCACTGTCTGAAGTAAAAGAAATGGAGAGAAATGTAATTCCAGGGTTTCAGTAGGTTTTGTTTCTAGAAATTACACGCTAGTCCTTCCACACTTTCTTATTCACAAACAAGTTCAGCTCCTCCTGCAACTTCTGTCTCTTCACAGCCTTTGTGGGATTGCAAACTTTAAGATGAAGTGGTGAAAACCCTCACCCCCAGCGTCTCCTCATGTCTGTATTTGTTAGGAAATTTAAA